CTTCCCTTGTCAACAGTACTGTAAATGAAACATAAAGATACTGAACTCCATTTAGCCTTGATATCAATAATGTAAATGAAACATAAACATACTGTACTCCATCTTCCCTTGTCATCAGTCCTGTAAATGAAGCATAAAGATACTGCACTCAATCTACCCTTGTCACCAGTCCTGTAAATGAAACATAAACATACTGTTCTCCATCTAGCCTTGTCATCAGTACTGTAAATGAAACATAAACATACTGTACTACATATAGCCTTATCATTAGTCATGTAAATGAAACATAAACATATTGTCCTCCATCTAGACTTGTCATCAGTCATGTAAATGAAACATAAAAATCTGAACTCCTTCTAGACAAATCGTCAGTGTTTCAAACAATTATAAAACAATGTACCTTTATTTGTCTGTTCATGAGTACTGTCAATAAGACATAAAAAGACTGGAACCCATCAAGCCGGACCTTCAGTATTGAACATTTAAAATACAATAAAGGGACTCATCTACAATGTAGCCTGGTGTTCAGTGTTTTAATTAACACATACAAAACTAATTCTTCATCATATTTCAATGATATAACATATGTGCTATCAACTATAAAACACTTTTTGTTGGCGTCCTTGTCAGATTTACTATCAACTACACTAATTTATTTGTCGGCTTTTATTTGAGTGTTTGTTTGAATTCTTGAGTCAGTTGTGCAGTATCTCTGTGATGTATTTTTACATGGTTATGGCTTCTGGATCCTTATTATTGTCAAATAACCAATAAAGACTGTTTGGGGTGCTCACCCAATTTCGTCAATACAACTATAAACAACTGTAATATATATGTTTTGATAGGTATAAAACCATATTCAACCCACCATTTTCTTCGAAACATGCCTATATCGAGTCAGGATATATTACAGTTGTTTTCCATTCGTTCAGTTGATTGATATAGTTTAACGTTTTATTTTGTCAGTTTATATGGACTTCCACCTTTTTAAAATTTTACCTTGGCGTTTTTTGTTAATGCTTTTTTATATAGAAATTGTCAGTTCTGTAAATAAAACATAAACAAACTGCACCCACTATAAACTAGTCATAATGACTGTAAATAAAACTGTTAAATACTGGCCCTATCCAGCTTTGTTTTTAGTGTTGTAGATACAAGATGATAATAATAAACCACCATCTACCCTTGTCATCAATGTTGTAAATATAACCTAAAATAACTGGACCCCATTTAGAACTGTAACATCTGTTCTGTAACTTAAAAGGAAAATACTGGAAGCCATCTAGTCATCGATCCATTAAATAAAAGAAAAAGATATTGAACTCAATCTAGCTAGGTGATTATTGATGGAAAAGAAATAAAAAAAAAAAGTACATGACCCTATCTAGCCTTCACATGTTTTTTTGAAAACAAAACATAATAATGCTGGACCCCATCTAGCCTTGTCAATAAAACATAAAAATACTGTACCAAATCTACCTTGGTCATTTCTATTGTATATAATGCAAAAATATACTGAACTCCATCTACCCTAGTCTTTGGTGATGCAATTAAAAACATAAAGATAATGGACCCAATCTAGCTTAGTCATCAATGATACAAATAAAATGTTAAAATGCTGGACTCAATCCAGTTTGGTCACTGTTGCTTGAATACTAGTAGTCAGCCTTGCTGCAAAAAAAAAAAAAACAACAACATACAAATACTTACCCAATCTAGTTTGGTCATAAGTGTTGCAACTGAAACATAGAAATACTGAACCCAATCTAGTCTGGTCATCAGTGCTGTAATAAAACATGTAGATACTGAACCCCATCTAGCCTGGTCATCAGTGCTGCAAATAAAACATTAAAATACTAAACCTCATCTTGCCTTGTCATTAGTGCTGTAAATAAAGCATAAAAAACGGAACCTCCTCTAGCCTGGTCATCTTAGCTGTGAATGAAACATAAAAATACTGGACCCCATATAGCCTTGTCATCGATCCTGTAAATGAATATTAACAAACTGTGCTCCATCTACCCTTGTCATTAGTCCTGTAAATGAAACATAAAAATACTGGACTCCATCTAGCCTTGTCATCAGTCCTGTAAATTAATATTAATAAACTATACTCCATCAACCCTTGTCATTAGTCCTGTAAATGAAACATAAACATACTGGACTCCATCTAGCCTTGTCATCAGTTCTGTAAATGAAACCTTTTTAAAATTTTACTTTGGAGTTCGACATTTTTGTTAATGGTTTTTGTATATAGAAATTGTCAGTTCTGTAAATAAAACATAAAATAAAGATGCACCTAATCTAAACTAGTCGTAATGACTGTAAATAATATATTAAAATACCGGCCCTATCTACCCTGGTCATCGGTGCTGTTAATAAAACAGTAAAATAATGAACGCATTCAGCGTTGTCATTAGTGTTGAAAATAAAAGATTGCAAAACTGAACCCCATCAACCCTGGTCATCAGTGATGTAAATATAACATCAAATAACTGGACCCCATCTAGCATAATAACATATGTGCTGATACTTAAAATGAAAAATACTGGAAGCCATCTAGCTTTGATCCATTAAATAAAAGATAAAGATATTTATCACCATCTAGCTTTATGATTATTGCTGTAACAGAAATACAAAAAATACTGGACCCTATCTAGCGTGGTTATATTTGCTGAAAACAAAACATAATAATGCTGGACCCCATCTAGCCTTGTCGTTAGTGCTGTTAAAAAAAATAAAAATACTGTACAAAATCTACCTTGGTCATTTCTGTTGTATATACTTAACCCCATTTAATCTTTCCATTAGTACTATAAATAAAACAGAAAAATACTGAACCTCATCTAGTCTGGTCATCAGTGTTGTAAACCAAACATTAAAAAACTAATGGACCCAATATAGCTTATTCATCAATGATACAAATAAAATGTTAAAATACTGGACTCAAGCCAGCCTGGTGACTATTACGTGCATAGTAATCAGTGCGGCAAATAAAACATGAAAATACTTAACCCCATCTAAAAACATTAAACTACTGAAACCCATCTAGCCTGGAAATCAATGCTGCAAATAAAACATAACAATACTGAAACCCATTTAGCCAGGTTATCAATGCTGCAAATAAAGCATAACAATACTGAAACCCATCTAGTATGTCATTAGTTCTGTAACAGCTGTAACATAAAAAAAGTACTCACTCGTGCATTGATCAATTTACTTTATAATAAATAATGCTGGGATTGATAAAAGAAAACTCTCTTTTGTTTTTGAATTATTTATATGTGTCGTACAAAGTCAGGAATATAACAGTTGTTTTCCATTTGTTCTGTTGGTTGAAAAAGTCGAACGTTTGATTTTCTAAGGTTTTATAAACTTCCTCGTTTTTGAATTTAAGTTCGGTATTTTTATTAATACTTTTCCCCGAGTATCGGGATTTTCACTGTCAGATTTAAGGCATGTTTTTTCATTGCGAATTTACTAAAGTATGCTTAGATTAATTTACCCAAAACTTGACGCTGTTGGTGGAATTAATTACAGGCAACTCCTTTTTTGGTTTTGATTATTTTCTGGTTTGTCATTCCAAAGTTGCGGTACTTTTACTTTCAGATTTAAGTTTATTTTACACTAGTTGTACATGGCCTTGCCGGACGAGTGTATCACACGACACTTTTGTGTTGACATGAAACATCATTGATATGTTCATTTTTCTATAAATTAACAGTTTATAAAATGTAGAATTATTCGTAACAATAAGGTTTTTCTATTCTTAGGTATAGATTGCCTTAGACTTATTTTACTTAATTTAATGGATTTTTTTTTAAAATGTTCTTCCACATCGTATTTGACTGTTTTTATTCGAGTATATGAAGACAAAACGCGAATATGGTGTACCAAATTATAAACTTCGTATTTTTGTTAAGTTTTTTGGCAAATGCTTTGATAGATCTACTTGAAGCTTAACACATTTGTTGGAATAAAGGGATAGTTGTGCAAGATTTCAACGAGACAGCAAACATGACAAAAACAACAACCATATGGACGGAAATATACAGTATTAAACAAAAGGCAGCTGTCTATTCAGTTATTTTTCAAGCTTTCGATTGTTTCGAGTCCATAGAAATAGTAAATGAATTAAACAGAAACAATCAAAGATTTGTCTTAAACACATGTCATTTCAAATAACGAGAATGCAAGACTTAACTGCAAAAGTGTTCATATCCAACGCACTTAGAAATATACAGAACTTCAAAGATTGACTAAAAATATGGTCATCTCTTGGTCTTCTTCCGACCGTCAGTATTATCCTTGCCAGATTTTGGCTTTCGTTTTGATGAGCGTGATGCACAAATTCGCAGTCACATCCGGTCAAATTAGGACGTTAATTCTAATGACGTGTGTAGAGATACCCCCTCCCGTGATTTTATACATTAATGGTGTCCCCTCTCTTTAATTGAAAACTCCTAGATTTGAGTGTCCATCCCTTCTGAAAGGTGTTGAGTACATAGAGGTAACCTGTATTTCGGAATTCATGGACCAACAAGTTACATGTAGTTGAAATATATTTAATGTGTTCTTTACATCACAATACATTTAGAGTCATGTCTCCGCTCTGTACTAGTGGATATTTCAATGTTTAAACATTGAGACATTTATAGCAAAGTTAAATATTACTAATTTTAGTGGGACATCTTTGAAAAAAAAATGTTTTAATGGAATTATCCCGTTTACTTAAAAAACAATACATCACAACAGACTTAATTGCAAGCAACATAGCATTTTGAGATGGTTCCCATCAGAACCAATAGTTATGGAACCATTAGTTTCTAATGTACATATGGCTCATTTGGCTCTAAACTCCTGACATGATTCGTTTTTTCTCCGAAGAAATCTTTTGTAGACCAGATAAAACTATGTGTTCAGTTCTGAGAAACAACAATGTTTAAAAATCTTTAGTACCAGTTTATGACAATATTTAAATAAATGTTCTATTTTCGCAGGACATGGATGAGGAAACTTCAGATGAGGAAACTTCGGATGTGGAATCTATAGATGGACAAACTTTGGATGAGGTAAAAACATCAAAACTTAGTTAATTCAATTTGATATTTTTTTTTTATTTTTGAAACAAACTTATATAGTGTAACTTTACTCTCACAGCATATTGTTTTGTACTTGTAAGTTATAGTTAAACCAGAACATTGCAGAATTCATATCAATATTTCTACAAAACATATCTCTACAAACCAGTAAAAATCTGAAATGAACAGTATTTGTACTGGACTCGACTGGTTTTTACTCGACCATTCTGAATGGGTTTGAAATTTACTTAATGTTACTAGACACCATTCTTAACCATACTTGACTGTTCTGATTTGTACTGGACCTTTATCTTGGCCATACTGAAAAGTCTGAACTCTGACCAAGCTCAAACAATCTTAAACCATTCTCGTCCTGTAAATAACCAGTTCACGATCTGCTTTCAATGTCTTAATACTCGACCAAAGGTTAAAAGACTGAGCCATACTTAACCAAAGTCTGAACCATACTCGACCAAAGTCTGAACCCTACTCGACAAAAGTATGAACCTTACTCGATAAATAAACGTCTACTTTATCAATCTTGAGTGTATAAGTATAATGTTTTCCTTTTATTAACGACTTAATTATTTTTACATTTATGTTCGATTGTTTTATTGGACAAATAAGTTTTTGTTCAAATTTTTAGCCGAGTGAAAAAAAAAAAAGACTTTAGATAGAAGGAATAAAAGATATAGATAAAGAATAGGTCGAGGATTGTTAAGACTTGGTCTTATACAGTGTGACTTTACTCTCATAGAATATTGTGTTGTACTAGTAAAAAGTAAAGTCACAAACATACCGAACCCCGAGGAAGATTCAAAACGGAAAGTCCCTAATCAAATGGCAAAATCAAAAGCTCAAACACATCAAAAGAATGGATAACAGCTGTCATATTCCTGACTTGGTACAGGCATTTTCTTATGTAAAAAATGGTGGATTTAACCTGGTTTTATAGTTAGCTAAACCTCTCACTTGTATGACAGTCGCATAAAATTCCATTATATTGACAACGATGTGTGAACAAAACAAACAGACATAAGAGGTAAAAATGTCGAAATAGGGGTACAACAGTCAACATTGTGTTATAATCTTAATCACTATAAAAACAAATATTTAACAAAGAAACACAAAAAGGCATATAGACAAAGCACATAAGCAAAAATGAAAGACAAGAATACAACAATTTACCATCGCACAAGAACACAATGACGGGATGTATAAGTACCGAGCCACGTCAAATTGATATCACCAAAAATAGACTATCAGTAAAAATGTATTAAAAAAGACAAATAAAAGAATTCTATAAAACGTTATTAAGATGATAAACAACGTCAGTACTAAGAATCTTTACTTCAAGACCTCGTGTATTAGTTGTGAAGTTGATACGGAATATTTATCAACAAGGTCTTGGTACCTTCCGATGAACTTTTTTAGAAAAAGGACGAGACGTTCTTTGTCATACCCCTGGTTCATCAACATTCTGCTAAGACACTGGTGACGTTTTACAAATTCTGAGTAGCAGCTTGAATACCGAACAAGCTGCGAAATGTATATGCCATATGCAGGTGAAGTTGGTATATTGCTACTAAGGTGGGGGAAATTGACAATTTCAAAATTAAATCGTCTCGTTTGTCATAGATTGTGGTACTGAGATGACCGTGTATGTCAAATTCGAGGTATAAGTCTAAAATTGAGTTGGAGGAATCCGTGTCTGTTGTTTCTTTAATTTCTAGTTCTGGGGGGATATATTAATGGAACCCAATCAGAAAAGTTTGGATTGTTAATAGAAAGAACATCATCAATATTTCTGAATGTGAAATTAAATGACCTGGCTTCTTTGATCGTCTTGTTTTTGACAAGTGTCTGAAGGAACTCCGACTCCTATGAAAATAAGAAGAGGTCGGCAAGGAGAGGCGCACAGTTCGTTCCCATAGGACAAGTCTATCTCCAAATTCAACAAATATGTTGTCAATAAGAAACTCCAGCATACTGATCACTTGTTACGGAGTATATATCTCCCAATTGATACGATTTTCCCGGGCTTGTGTTTCCTATCATGATTTCCTTGATAGAGGATTGCTGCTCACAAGGAAGCTATTAAGCCAAGAGTTCCAAATGGTGAAGTTGAAATCATCCCTTCGTAAATTTTACGGACGCCATCACGAGTTGGTTGACCGTTATGGAATAACCGTTTCACAGATGATATCGGATATGTTCCTTATGTCGTAACTACAATACCCTTCCCTTTTCACGAATGTGACTTACCGAATTAGACTTTTTACCGGATTTGTAATAACATAAGCAACACGACGGGTGCCACATGTGGAGCAGGATCTGCTTACCCTTCCGGAGCACCTGAGATCACCCCAAGTTTTTGGTGGGGTTCGTGTTGCTTAGTCTTTAGTTTTCTATGTTGTGTCATCTGTACTATTATTTGTCTGTTTGTCTTTTTATTTTTGGCCATGGCGTGTCAGTTTGTTTCCGATCTATGAGTTTGACTGTCCCTCTGGTATCTTTCGTCCCTCTTGTTCCTCTGTGTAGCATGTTTTACCTTTTTAACTTCAAGCTCAAGCTCAAAATCAAAAGAAAATAAATTCTATAATCATTGAGAATCAGCTGAGAATAATAAAGGAGGAGTCAAGAAACCAAGATGGCAATAATTACTTAAAGAGGGAGGACAAATGAAACTAAGGGGCAATGAAAAAAAGCTTACGTAAGGTGGAACGATGAAACAAAATAGGACAAATAAAGACATAAGGATGGAGGAGGAAACAAAAGCATAAGGAGGGAGGTGAAGAGAAAACCAGGAAGAGAAAAACACTTTAAAAGGAGGATGAATGAAGCCAAGGGGAAACAAAAACAAACGAGAATGGAGGAAGAAATGAACAAAAAGTGCAATACAACATATGAAGGAGAAGGAAAGAAAGAGACATTTACAAATCACAAGTGGACGGAAGACGGATACGAAGTGATTAATAAACAAATACTAGGAAGGGGAGGAAACAACACAGGAAGACAACTAAAAACATAAGCTGGGAGGAGAAAAGAAGCCAAAGGGCAATGAAAAACATCAGGCGGAAAGTTAGAAAATAAAGGGCACAATTATTTTACAAAGAGGAGAGAAGAGGAAAACTAAGGTGAGAATAAAAATCCATATAGAGGGTGGAAGAAATAAACCAAGGGGGCTTTACAAAACATAAGGAGGGAGGAGGGAAGCGGGAGAAAATAACAAAACATAAGGAGGGAGGATGAAAATACCAAGGAGGCAATAGAAAAACATCAGACGGGAGAGGAGAAAAATCAAAGTGGCAATATACAGGCATAAGGAGGATGGAAGAAGGATAAACAAGAAGGTAGTAAAGAATAAAGAAGGAGGTCGAAAGAATGGGAAAATTAAAATATACGAATAGAGGGGGAAAGAAACCAAGGAGGCAGTAACAAACGTACACGTGAGGATTGAGGATGAAACAAAGCGAGTGGACAATACAAATGATAATACACAGGAGGACAGAAATTAAGGGGAAAACATAAACATTACAAGAGGGAAGGAGAACAGAAACCAAAGGGGCCAATAAACAAACATAAGGACGGAATATATAAAACAAAGAGGGTGGTAAAATTATTTGGGGAGAATAGGAAGGAAGAGGGCAATGTAAATATCATAATAAAAGAGGAGAGGAACCAAAGTGGCAATAAAAAACGTAATGAGAGAGGTAGAAGGAAACCAAGTGAGCAATAGATAACACCATAACAGAGAAGGGAAAACAACCAAGAGGGGTTTTTCAAAAACATAAGGAGGCAGGTATTAAAAAAACCCAAGGCCGATACAATTAAAAGGAAGGAAGGGGGAGAATAAAAACTAAGTGTGCATTACAAATTATAAGGAGGGAGGAAGGGAGAAACAACGGGAGGCATTAATAAAGGCAATAAACCAAGAGGATAGTAAAAACAGAGTAGAGAAGGAGAGAGAAAAGAAGGGAGACATTTTAAACATAAAATGGAGAAAGAAAGAAAGAAGCAAAAGAGGCAATGAAATATAAGTACGGAGGGTGTAAGAAACCAAAGGGGCTAAAAACAATATAAGCAGCGGGGAGGAAAGAGGGCGACAATAATAAAACGGTAATAAACATATCTTAGGAGGGAGGAGACAATAACACAAGAGGGAAATATAAAAGGAATAAAAAGTAAAGAACCAAGGATGCAATACAAAATCATGAGAAGGTAGGAGGAAACAAAACCAAGAACGAAAACATTATAAAGAATGAATTGGAAACAAAGTTTGGGTAATAAAACATAATTAGGGAGAAAAATAAAAACCAAGTGAGCAATACAAATGATATGAGAGAAGGAAGAAAGAACAAGGGAGGCATTGCAAAAATCAAAATGGTGGAGAAAAGACACTTCAAGGACAATAACATATAATAAGGAGAGAGCGGGTAAGAAAGGAAGGGCAATGAAAAAATAACTCAATTGGTCAATTAAACATAGGGATAGAGGAGGATAAAAACCAAGGGACAATAAAACTTATACGAGTGATGAAGAACTATCCATATGGGGGAAATACAAAAATCACAAGGAGAAGTAAAAATAAAGCAAGGGGTAATACATAATAGAGAAGGCGGAATAGAAACCAAGGTACGATACAAAACGTTTTTAAAGAAGAATATACATGTAGATACTTACAGTTGGGGAGGAGGAAAAAAGTCAAGGGGCTTTACAAACATCACAAGGAGGAAGAATGAAACTTAATGGGCGATACAAAGAACATACCAGAAAGTAGTACATATTTAACACAAAATTGTTCCTACGCATGGGTGTAACTTTCAAAATATGTAAAATATTTTGGTAATTTTGGTATCAATGAAAGCTGAATGACTGGTGATCATTGTAGAACACTTTTTGAATAAAAAAATTGCATGAAATTTAAAAAGGAGGGTACAATTTTCCTGTTTGTCAGATCCGAAGTACATGTTTTGGTAAATCCGAAGTTCCGGGAACCAGTTTTCTCTTATATGCTATTAAAGGTATGATGATTTTTTCAGTACAAGACACGATAAGGTGTTGCTTTGACATGCAATGATTGTCACTTTATTTGAACTTAAGACAAAAGAGCTGTGCCTGCTCGAAATTAAGGAATTTAATATAGAAAGTAATGGAGCCATGAATTAGTGGTGTACTTCCTTTTACAGAGAATCATCAGAAATTCAGTTTATAGACGTTGTACCTATTCCAATGAAAATTAGTCATATTTGATGTCAG